GGAGCATTGGTCTGGCGGTCATGAATGCCTGTGAACCGTAGTCCAAGATGGGCCGGATCAGCGCACGATAGATCATCATGAGCGTCACAACATTGGCGCCCCATTCATTGCCAGATATATTCCTCATTAAGTTCAGCACAATTTGGCATCTGTTTGTGATGTTTTTAATGTGGGGTTCCCATGAGAGTTTTCTATCGAAGGTTACACCAAGTAGCTTGGTTTCACTAACAAATTGAATACGTTCGCCGTCCAATACTAGTCGCATGTCGGTCCCCTGGGGGTCTTTACAGACCAAATAATAACCATCTACACGTCAAAGCCCTTCATATAGTGCTTTGCTGCGAGTAACAAAATGACGTCATCGGTGATAACTGCCTGCATTCTCCTGTGGGTATTCTTATATTTATGGTACTTCTCTTTGGAGGTGTCCACTTCTGTACAACTTCTACTCTCGATTTGTCCAAACTTTGGACGAGATTTAGATTAACGGAATTGTCTTGCTTGTACGGATTTTTATTGCATGTATCAAGTTCAATATGTTAATGATATTCGCCTTGCATATATTACCTCGAATTTCGAATATTTGCATAGGAGAACCTTAGGCCTAATATTATCTTGGAAGCTTTAACCAGCATCAAACGAGTCTGTGTCACATCATTAAATTATAGACGAATGGAACGTCGAACTACCATTTTGGAAAGTGATAGGGATAAATGAGATTGAGATATATCAAGTGGTAAAAAGGAGATATCTATATTTCTTTATATCAAGTCTGTGTATCTTCGTATCATTTAAAATCTCCCCGTCACACATGGATATGTCTTTTAATATATAATTTGTAAGATCATGGTCTCGCATTATCAGCATGAAGAAATTAAAACAAATATTAAAGGGAATATACTGAATATTTTTGGTAGATCAAGTTGAGGTATCTCATGAACGCCCCACCCCCTCCCCTACCCCAGTCCAATAAAAACCCAAATTGTATATAGATCACTCGAACGTTGACAATTCTTTCCTATTTTGTAATATGTAAACAAGCTCTCTACAAGCCATGTCATATAGAATTAGTAGAGACATTCCTTTTAAATCTAAAGATTATTATAAAGACATGAGATATGCCAATATAATGCTTTAAGTATATGTAAATATTAATATAATAAGTTATAATGACATATCTACTAATCCTATTTATAATATATATAGCGAATTGTTATGACAGACAATATACTAAATAGTGATATGTTTTGAGAACATGTTCGTTTTATGAGCCAAGTCCGAGAAACTTTGACAAGGTTTTGCCATTTGATGGATTCTATAGGTAAATTTACTGTAATTTTGGTTCTTCTGCTAATTTTGAATATATTATATTATTAGTTTGATTGAATGGGCAAAGGTCACAGAGTAATCGTTTCACAAGTCTTGGTCATATAAAGTCTTATAATTTTGGCTAAATCGGCTGATAGAGCTTAATCTAACCTCTTGTAACTCTTTTAAGAATAGCTATCCGACATCCAGTTCGTATAAATGTAAACAAATGGAATATTCCTACAGAAGTGACGAAGCTCAGTGTTTTTCCAATGCAGTATTACTGATAATGTTGTAATATGTTATCGTGAATATCTGCATTAGACAAAACTAAAAGCGGTATGGATACTTCCACATTTTTTAGTAGACGAACTGGATGCAGACTTCGTTTTCTGACAAGTGGTATGAATATTTGAAATTGAGATCGATAAGCTGGGTCAACTACTTTCTTTGAGCATTTCTATTTTCAAAAAGATAGGGTTTAAGGCTCACCAACTGTTAGTGCCATGTTGTTTACTTACTGGACTTTTCAGAAGCAAATATTCATACATAGCGTGTGCAACAGATAAGACAGGCGCGTACCTTTAAATGCAGACACATTAGTGGTTCTAATGGCGCTCATTTGACAAGCGGCTTAATGTAATGTACATTTACCTTTCAATGTAATTAAAATCCCGTTTGCGGTCTATTAAAATACAACAATAGATAGAAGAAAAAACTGTCATCATTACCTGCAGTTGATAAATGATACGAAATGTCTCAAATAGCTCGAATTAAAATCCTTTACAAAATATCCACAATCTGTAAGCCGAAACGACTTGGTTAAATTAAAAGATGTGTTAAAACAAGTTGGTATTTGATGGTAGAAGATGATTGATAATCTAAAACTGTTTAAAGCCACATCATGCCGTAGAATAGTACATTGTTTTAAGTTCTTCAAAAAATAAAAGGAACTTTTATGTAGTACTTTTCTGCATTATAAAAAGACAGAAGACATGTTTGGGAACAGTGAGAACAAATTTGGACAGAGACTTTAGTCTTTTGACATTTTCAACTTTCAAAATACTTTTTAATTGCCCAGCCTGTAGCATAGTATGTTCCTTTAGCAAGGGTATACTATAATATCTACATCTAACATTGATAATATACTACCATTACTAAAGGAACATGGTAGAATAGGAGCCTCGTTCTTTTATTCCAAAGAGGGGGTTTGATCGAAGACTTAAAAGCCGACATCAGTATGATTCTTGTGCGATAAAAGTGTTTTAAATCTGGTTTGCTCTTGTCCCGCAACGACGAACTTTTCTAGGAAAGATGTTGTTTCCTAATTATTCTTCAGTGCGACTCCGCTATCACAAAACAGATTCGATACGAAGGTTCTTGTCTTTTATTCATTTATATTTTCAGAAAAAATCCTACCCCAATTCAACAGTGACATCATAACCGATATTTAAAAAACTCACTCCAGTCAAAATCTAAGTAACACGTGTTTTTGCCATGCTGGATATCATGGAAAAAGTAGGCTAATGTTATTTCAAAGGTATACTACCTTTTAGGATGTCAAAAATTTGTAAACTTGGCCAGAATAAGTCATTGTTCATCAGTGGACTAACCTGGTGTCATAACTATACAACAAAATCCCTCTATAATCCAATAACTACATACAACTTTTTTATTAATTAAACTAAGTAATTTTGAAACATGCTTAGAAGGGTGCTTCAATAATTATTAAGTTTAATGCATATTTTCTTATATAGAAGTTCTTTTCTTTAGTCATGGCAATTGGTAAGTCAACTGATTAATAAATACATTAATTGGCCATGTTTGAGACTTTGAATTTTAAGTAGATTCTAAAAGGCGGTTTACCTTTAACGAAAATGATACTGAGTTGATAAACCCAGACAAAAGTGGTGTCAGATGTTACAGTGATATAGTCGCGGTATAGCGTGTAGTGATTCTGACATAGTGTAGCTTTAATGTGTAAACAATGTTGATGTAGGCAAAACCTGTATTACACATACTATTTACTCGCTTCTACATACAAACTAGTTAACATACGTTTTACATACGTTCAACCTTTCTTAATTCATTCAACCTATTAAACATTTTAACTTGTTTTAAGTCTAGAGTTTAGTTTAGTCTACGTTTTAAAAAGTATCAATTTCTAGAAAATCAGAATGATTGGATGTAATGACGTCACAGACCTAGCAGTCAGAGGCCTGTATAATCTGCTATGATAATATGCAAGTAATTGAAATTGTAAAGTAGCGGAGTAATTTCTTAACAACAGTCAAGTTCCAAATCCAGAAACATGCCATTTTGTTAGTAGTAGTCTTCTATTCACTATGTTACTCATTATAAAAAGCATATTGTGTCTGAAACACGAGCTTTTTGGATTTTATATAACTCCTTAGGTAGTTATTAATTTGATTTTGGATCGATAAAGCAGAATGCAGTAAAAAAAAAACTGCGCGGACAGTGGCAGTAACCTATTCCTTTCTGATTTTCAAAAGGGACCTAAATCATGCACATGGAGGCACGTTATATTGTACAACCAGAGTATTTTTCCATGTCAACTTCTCGTGCTTGCTTCACTGAAAAAGCAGAGTGCTCTATCGCGACTTTTCCTGGGATCGAACCTGAAACTTTAGGTTAACCAGCAAGCTTGCAACACATTAAGCCTAACCTGCTCCCAAGATCGTTGAGATGGTTTTGTGTGCAGTGACAGTCAAGCGGATGTTGATAAAATTTTCATGGTCATGATATAATGATATTTTGTTCAGAAACTAAGTATTGGTCAGACTTTCATGTGACATATTGGAGGTTGAATTTTGTGATTTAACATGGAAAGAGATGGTAAATGAATTAATGATGTATAGGTTCATGTGAGAGTCGGTCCAGTGATAACTCCTACTTCTATTATCTCCCTTTGAAAACAATGGAATATATAACATTTATTGACAATATAGAGAATGATTATGTTTAGAATAATATTCAGACTACAAAATACATTAGAAAGTTAGCACGCACATCTTAAACATTTTGGGGAGGCGGAAAATTTATATTATTTTCATATATCTTCAGATCATTGCTGTATATTTCATTTTTCAATTTCTCTTTTTCATTCTCCACCTCGTCTGAACAACTCTTTTTGATTGGTTTGGCAAGTAGGTAGAATTTTTTAAAGAGAAAGAATGCCACACCACAAGCTGTGCCGAATGCTGCCAATATAAACACACCAGCTGTGTGACGTACCCCGAACTGGACTTGAGGTTTCTTTTTATTGGACAATGAATCGGCATCACATTTTCTTCTGTCATCCCACCACCTGAAAATAAAATAACTGTATCCATAAGACTCGTTATATTTGTGTCCAAGGAACCTAATCTGCAAACAAAACGAGGTTCCGGTTTCCACTCATAGTCAAACTTTGGGGATCCTTCGATCATTGAAAACGCCACAGATGTCTACTTTCTACCACTATCGCAGTTGATAGAAACTCAAAATGATGTCAAAATGTAAACAAGGGTCCGTATCTAGTTATCTCGCTACTGAAGGGTATTTGAACAAATTTACTTTACAATAATAGTTAATGCACACATGTATGATTTGCATGATAATTTCTGGAACAGATCAACGCGATTCAAATGAATTGTTTATATGGTTACCGACAGTTATGCGGTCAAATTTACTTACTTCTTTTTCAGCCCTTGTAATGTACCTCTTTCCTTAAGATTTAGTAATTCTATGTTGACGCTAGTTTTAAAAGGTGCTCCTGCTGCCATCCCTATACCATGTTCCTGAATCAGGATAGGTGACGCCACTGCAGTGATGTTACAGTTATTACCTTCAGCATAAGAGTTGATCAGATAATCAAAAATGAAAGCGAAATCCCCCTCTGCCACTCGCTTCCGGCCCTCTGAGGAATTTGTCACCATTCCATCAGATTCTTCGATTTTCTCAAACAATCTTTTAAAAACAGGCTTTGTACCCATTCTCAGAAAATTCAACGTTGCCGAATTCTTGACGCTTCCACACTCTATATCGTCATTTTGTGACAAACTTTCAAATGAGTCGACAGTTTTTCCAAGATTTTTGGTTGTCAAGAAGGCCGCCATGTTTGCAGTATAGGTGGCGACAGTGATGAGAACGAAGAAACCAAAGCCGATGGTAAGAATACGTTGTGATATTGGTCCAGGAGAGAAGTCTGTACCGCGTTTTAGAAGTGTTCCAATAGAAAACCACAAAGTCTCCTTCATTGTAAACTTTCTGGAAGGATGAGTGTAATCCAAAATAAAATACACCAAACATACGACTACTGAAGATCCAAGGATGGCCATCCACAACTCGAGAGAAAATGGTTTGAGGAACTGGAATATGGTATAATGGTCATCTGGCATCAGTACTAGTATGTTTACTCCTGTAGTTAAAACTCCCAGACTGAAGTCTATAGCTGTTTCTCTTTGTGATGTAATTGATATAGCACCCATTGCTAATGTGGCATTCTGAAATTACACACAATAATCGTCTAGAATTTTCGAAAATTGCGAAAAACCCGGCGATTGTACTTGAACGTTTAAAGAACAAAGTAACCTTATTTTATGGAGGATAATCCCGTAGAATCCGCATGCAGTGGAGTTTCTATGAGTTATTAGTTGGGATGGCCTAGTAAGGACCAAAGAAAAGTCAAGAGGCACAGTCACGGGCAATCTTTTCCATGGAATGATAAAAAATTCCGAACCCCTCGTCAAACGCCACTATCCAGTTTTATTATCTACCGAGCGGTCCATGGTCAGACATTTTTAGTTCAAAGTTAAGACAAGAGGATACTGATGGACTGTCGGTACAAGGGAAGCTATTAATTCTGTGTAAGGACTTAAAAATAAATCTTACCCCACTAATAATTTCACCGACCATACCATCCCACACACCGCCATTTTGTCTAGCGCCATATTGGTTTTTAGGACTGACGTATATCTCGTATTGAAAGTTGAGAGTTTGAGCGAGTATGTGTAACAAATCTATAGTAAATCCTTCATATTCATCATGTCCATCCCTTACTAGTGAACCAGCTTTTCTCATCACAAAAGGTTCTTCCTACAAAATTAAAACTATTATCATGACTTATTCAAAACGAAGAAGTTCTGTAAAACATACCTCGTGTTTTACGAGGTCATGGCAATCAAATCCGTGACTTGTTTCTTAAAGCTATTTTTTTTACGGAAAATGACAATAGAAAATGTTGGGGATACTTTTGAGCTATTTAAACATTTGGAACATTTGAGATCTCTCAAATTATATGTATTTTACCACTCATAGAAATAGTTATGGAAAGTTAAATCTTAACCATTTCATTTTGAACTGGAACACGGTGCGGAACATAGGTTTAACAGAGTTGTGTGGATCAACCTGGGCGTTATATATATGTTTCTGCTACAAAAACTGGTAATACATACCAGTACAACTACAACTTTCACTATGTCAGGAAAGATACCAAACTCAGCTGTTCTGTGGGATACTTTATTTGAACGTTTCCATTGCATCCTAGCATTAGCTGTTTTAGGTGACGGTACCCAATCTGCTACCTGGAAAAGATTTATGGGACTGCAAATGCAAATGCATTATATCGGAATAATAATGAAAAAAAATTGCATTGGCCTGTCATGCTTCTTTTTCATGTACCGATAATGCAGTATGAGCCAGATCTTCGGTTGAGGCGTTGACTCTAAGGGATACAAAATTTAAAAAACGATAAGCAAGTAAGGACGCACAAGCATATTTCGTGCAGAATAAAGTAAGATGTCACACCTTTTTGTACATATTTTCTCCGCCATGTGTATATAGATCTAACTGGTAATCTATTCTCTGTCCAGTAGAATTAAACCTTATCACACCTGTTTCACCAAATGGTATATTCACCTGAAATGTAAATAATGGAATATATTAAATGAGGTGTACCTTAAAAGATGTTCTTCGCAGAATTTGCAGAAATTCTCAAGTTTGACGCATGGCATATATGCATTTGGAGATACATCGAGGAAATATTTCTGGATGATGACTTGATTACTATATTGTCCAGCTTGCTTAGAAGATTTGACCGTTTACTTTATTTAATGCAGATGTGTACGATATTTTTGTATTTGATGTACCGTTTAAAATACTGATGACTCGTGAATGCCACAAACCATTCTAGAGATCATTTATTTATCTTCATGTGTTTTAGTACAATTATAAGTTTTACCTTTTTCATAGCCACCAAAAATCTATCATCCGAGAATTCATTTGTGAGAACAGTTTGGGTTGAGATGTAATAGTTTAAAGCCATGGTGGTTATTTTAGCAGCATCTAGTGACGTAGCTCTATTAGCATCTTGGGATGGTTGACCAAACGATGGCTGTATGTACCGAAAAGCATACAGAAAAGCTCTCGCCGAAAACAACCCCAATTGGTACATCTGTGTGGCACCGGAAAATGGCTCCAGATAGGAGCTCTGAAACAAAACGATTTATCCAAACATTAGGTCAACCCTTTTAATTCATACCTATCACAGATTTGTAAATATTTTTGAGATTCTAAGAAGACAACGTTAGAGTACCGTATCATCGACACAGCATAGATTCCAAATCCAAGATTAAAATCCCCCTAAAACATATTATACTTACCGGATCTACAAATATAAAATTCTGTCTTTTGTTGGAGAGAAGGTTGAAAGACTTTGCCTATAATTAATAAATGATAATAATATTCTTACAATGTAAATCAGTTCATCGCTAAACACCACAAACCGCCAATCTGAACAATAGAATAAACTGAACTTATAATAGTGATTTTGAAACTTTTGATGCTTGAATTAATTTTGTGATAATTGTAAATAAAATTAGCCAATCAAATAGCTATGATGACTCTTAATTCACTGATGCGTGTTTACCTTTTCTAAAATCTTCCTAATTAGGTGATCTCTGGAATCTCTTGGACTGCAGATAATGATTCGTCTTTGTCTGGAGATCTGAGAACTTCTGAGGATCTCCATGATGGTCTGGTTGGATTCTGTTGATTGAACGTTTACTGTATAGGGTATGATAGATACTTCTTTAGACAAAAGCTGGGATGATAAATCTTGACATTCTGTAATAAGTTTCAAACAAGACTTTAGATTAAAATATATTTCCTCTTAAATTGATGAATACCCAGGTTCTCAACATTTAGGACTCTTTGTATCCATTTTCAACGATACGAAGCTCTGGTTCTCTTAACCACAATGATAAGCAAAACAATGAAAACTTTGGCCAAGTATCGTCGATCCGCCAATGAATTAGAATGATTGCAGTTGTCGGACATGTTTACAACAAATAAACTAGATTCAACCAAACACTTCATTAAAAGGGTTTTTATGAAAATCAGCCAGATTCTTTTGTAAATAGACTTTAGAAATAGCCTTGGATCTGAAATTCAGCAATTACGGACAATAAAGTCACACTGGGTATTATTACCTTGGTTGTCTTCATCTGATTCCGGCATCACCAATACAGCACTCTTCCATTGCTTGGTAACAAATATATCAACCACAGCTTTATTCTGTTCCTGAGCTGGTGGTCGAATCTCTACAATAGTTCTCCAATCTACATGATCTTCAACTCGACTCATATCAATCCAATCAAATCCTTTATAATCAGTGACTAGATATGGTATACCTTCACTCTCAAGGATCATGGCTAAGTTGGTATAAAATGGTCCGATGATTAGATTTGGTCTTGTTCCTGGTTGAGCTCCTTGAGATCCCAAAGCTGAAAGGTAAAAATGACGAACAGAACCAAAAAGTTAATTACAAGTTCGATGTCGATGTTGATGTTGATGTTGGCTGGTAATTTTTATCAGAATAGCAATGCTAGAATGATATAGCAGTAAGGTCTTGAGTTCATCTTAAGTTTTAAGTTTTTTCTAGTTCGAGTTCAATTCTTATATAACCTTTCACTAGAGAGACAATAGCTAAAGAGGCGGAATGTGCTTTCTGTCTGTCTGTCTGTCTGTCTGTCTGTCTGTCTGTCTGTCTGTCTGTCTCTGTCTGTCTGTCTCTGTCTGTCTGTCTGTCTCTGTCTCTGTCTCTGTCTCTCTCTCTCTCTCTCTCTCTCTCTCTCTCTCTCGCTCTCTCTCTTTTCGTTAAATTTAATGTTACTCTGCGCATATTTTTTACAAATTCTAAAGGTTTGGACAAACCATCCCTTAGAAGCAACGACTTTTAAAACAGTCAAAGTTTCAAAAATCCATCCATCCCGATACAGGACTATGTACTTCCCAGTTAATCACTTGGCATTAATGCTTATTCTTACCCTGTTTAATTCCATTTTTAATCCAGGTCCAACCATGCTTTTGCAATTCTAGATCATCATGAATCCGAATTTTTACATAATGTGGCGCTAAGAAACATCTTTCAACTTCTCCCGTCAATAAAACATTCTTCATTAAAATTTCTTCCTGTAGAGTTCCATTGGACTGATTATCTGTCAGTAAAGCTGAAAAAGATGAAATAAAACTTTATTACCAATCAGAATACCAACTTGAAAATGAAATAGTATTTCCAATTCCATATTCCAACATAAGCAAGAATGTGAATTTAATAGTCTAAAAATGAAAATATAGATACTGTGTGAAATGATGAATCATATAAATAGGTTAAATAGTATAGTTTCTAGTGTGGATGATGAACAATAAAGTAGATATTCACTTTGTCATGGGCCCAATGATGAAAAAAGAATATAGATATAAACACTATACCACGAGTTCAATGATGAATAAAGAAAGTAGATATAAACACTGTCACGAGTTCAATGATGAATAAAAAAAGTAGATATAAGATATAAACACTATGTCACGCGTCCAATGATGAAAAAAGTAGATATAAACACTACGTCATGAGTCGAATGATGTATAAAAAGTAGATAAGCACTATGTAATGTGTTAAATGCGTAAAGTAAGTAGATACAAACACTATGTTGAATGATGAATAAAGAAAGTAGGTGTAAACACTGTGTCATGAGTTAAATAATGAGTCAAAAAAGTAGATATGTCATGAGTCCAAAGATGAATAAAGTAGATATGAACACTATGACATGAGTCCAATGATGAATAAAGAAAGTAGATATAAACGGTATGTCATGTGTACAATGATGAATAAATAAAAAAATAGATATAAACACTGTGTCATGAGTCCAATGATGAATAAAGAAATTAGATATAAACACTGTGTCGTGAATCCAATGATGAATAAGGAAAGTAGATATAAACATTGTGTCATGAGTCAAATAATGAGTCAATAATGTAGATATAATAAACATTGTGTCATGAGTCAAATAATGAGTCAATAATGTAGATATAAGAAACATCGTGTCATGAGTCAAATGAGTTGCAAGATCAATGTTTCATAACGAGTCCATAGCGAATATTTCACCTGCCATAGGTTATATAACTTACCTATTGTCAGTTTGTATCGTTTTCCATTTTCAGTTTTCTTGCATCTGGCATCACCATCAGAGATCAATAGAAATATATAGATTGGTGCCAGAAATATTATATTCCAAGAAGCTGAAATCATTATGTTGCCTTGAAGATTCAATTAAATATTTCTACTATACATCAAAATCACCGAGTCTCTTCCATGGTAAGTATTCATAGTTTTGTCACCCTGAATTTTCGTTCCAAGTACACCATATACCCTAGAACCATCACGTAAAACTTCTGAACTATTTTACATTGTAACACGAAACAAGTTCAAACGATTCTTTTATATTGTTCCCAATCTTGGAATGTATGACTTTACCAACATACGTTAGACACCATACGAAAACTTGATGACTTCGCTACCAACGTTCACAAAATCTTAATGAATGACCTTTATTGACTAATTCAGCGTATTCTAAATGGCAGTACAAAATAGTAGAATATAAAAATAAGGAAAAGTAAAATCATCACGAAGTAGAATACAAGATGAGATAGAATAATCGACTAATGGTATTACATTATTATTTGATTATCAATTAATTCCTCTTTCTCTTTCACACCATTTCAGCTTAGAGTTGATGAGTTTCAGATGACACTAACCT